AGCATGGCTCGCCGGAAGGCTGGACCATCTCGGTTAGCCTTCGATGCACCTGAAGCGGACGATCAAGATGAATACGAGAGTCAAGCCGGTAGCATGTCAAAAAGTTCCGGCCGCCGAAAGAGCACGATGCTGGCTAGCGGTATGCAAGGCGCTGCGGGCCAATTCCTCTCTTCATTGGATATCGTTAGTAAATGCTTGAATTCTGCCAATTTGAACCCTTACTTTGTGTTCTGTCTGAAACCCAACGATCGCCGCATTGCGAACCAGTTCGATAGCAAGTGCGTGCGAGCACAGGTCCAGACCTTTGGCATCGCGGAGATCAGTCAGCGGCTCAGGAACGCCGACTTCAGCATCTTCCTCCCGTTTGCCGAGTTTCTCGGCCTAGCTGAGATTGGCAATGTCGTGGTGGGAAGCGACAGAGAGAAGTCCGAAGTCGTCTTGGATGAGAAGCGGTGGCCAGGGAACGAAGCTAGGGTAGGCAGCACGGGTGTCTTTCTCAGCGAGCGCTGCTGGGCCGATCTTGCTAAATTAGGCGAGCGTGTTGTCCCTGTATATCCTGCGGAAGGCTCTGATGAAGGCGGGGATAACCTGCTTCACGCGCGGGCTGGAGGCTACGCTGATTCAAAAGTCCGACTCCTCGGCCCATCTGATCAGTCCCCGGGTGGTTTCATCTACGGGGAGGATGGGAAACAGGGGTACTCCAGTAGTCGTGAGTTCGATGGGCGCTCAGATGCTGGAGCCTCCGCATTCAATTCGGGCGACATGTTCCGGAATTTGGATACGAGAGAACAAATGCTCGAAAAGGGCAACGAAAAGAAGATGGAGGAAGTTGATGAGGCACCTGTTTCCGGAAGTCGCAAACGCTGGATGGCGATTGTCTACCTTCTCACCTTCTATATCCCGGATTTTATGATCAAAACATTTGGACGCATGTCCCGAAAGGATGTTAGAATTGCCTGGCGTGAGAAGCTTGCGATCAACTTAATCATCTGGTTCAGTTGTGTCTTTGCAATCTTCTTCATCGTCGCTTTCCCTGGTTTGATTTGTCCCACACAGCATGTGTATTCCTCGGCTGAGCTGAGCACACACAACGGCAAGGATGGGCATAATTCATTCGTCGCGATTCGCGGTATAGTTTTCAATTTGGGCAAGTTCATGCCGTCTCACTACCCAGATATCGTCCCGGAGAAACAACTCAAGAACTATGCTGGTACCGATGCCACCGGTCTTTTCCCAGTTCAGGTCTCGGCTCTATGCCCAGGAAAAACCGGCTCTATTGACCCTACAGTGCTCTTGGACTACTCTTCCACGAACGTCTCCGGCTCTGCGACCACCGTCAGTACTAGTGATACCAATTGGGTATACCACGACTTCCGTTACTTCACCAATGACTCTCGCCCCGATTGGTTCCAGGAGCAGATGATAATGCTCAAAGCGAACTACTTCAAGGGATGGGTTGGCTACACCCCGACATACCTGAGAACTTTGGGAGACAAGTCACAGTATATTGGAAGTATCAACGGGAGGGTATACGACCTGACGACATATGTGGCCGGAGGACGAAGAGTGCAAGCTCCTGTAGGGGAATCGGTCCCTACTAACGTCGATCGGGACTTCATGGATGACCTTGTTGTGCAACTTTTCCAACGACTGCCAGGTCAAGATTTGACAAAATACTGGGAGGACCTGGCAATATCCGACGTGATGCGCGAACGTATGCAGCTCTGCTTGGACAATCTTTTCTTTGTCGGCCATGTGGATACACGTAATTCGCCTCGTTGTCAGTTTGCCCGTTACTTCATCCTCGCCATATCAATCTTCATCTGTTTGATTGTCGTCTTCAAGTTCTTGGCGGCCTTGCAATTCTCGAGAAAGAATCTCCCAGAGAATCTCGACAAGTTCATTATTTGTCAAGTCCCAGCCTACACTGAAGACGAGGAATCCCTCCGCCGTGCTATCGACTCTATGGCTCGCATGCGCTATGATGACAAACGCAAACTTCTCGTGGTTATTTGTGATGGTATGATTATCGGACAAGGAAACGATCGTCCTACCCCTCGAATCGTCTTGGACATCCTAGGCGTACCCGAATCCGTCGACCCCGAGCCGCTCAGCTTCGAAAGTTTGGGCGAAGGTATGAAACAGCACAATATGGGTAAGATTTACTCGGGTCTTTATGAGGTCATGGGCCACATCGTTCCTTTCCTGGTTGTTGTCAAGGTCGGTAAACCCTCCGAGGTCGCTCGGCCAGGTAACAGAGGAAAGCGTGATTCCCAGATGGTGCTCATGCGGTTCCTCAACCGCGTCCATTACAACCTTCCCATGAGTCCTATGGAGCTGGAGATATATCACCAGATACGCAACATCATCGGTGTCAATCCCACGTTCTATGAATTTATTCTACAGGTAGATGCCGATACGGTGGTGGCTCCTGATGCTGCAACACGAATGGTGTCAACCCTGCTGGCCGATACCCGCATTTTGGGTATCTGTGGAGAAACTGCTCTTTCGAACGCCAAAACGTCAATGGTGACAATGATTCAAGTCTACGAATACTACATCTCCCACAACCTTGTCAAAGCTTTTGAGAGTCTTTTCGGATCCATTACTTGTTTGCCGGGTTGCTTCACCATGTATCGCATCCGCTCAGCCGAAAGCGGGAAACCTCTGTTCGTGAGCAAAGAGATCGTTGAAGCCTATGCGGAAATCCGTGTCGACACTCTCCACATGAAAAATTTGCTGCACTTGGGTGAAGATCGTTATCTGACAACACTGCTCATCAAGCATCATCCCAAGTACAAGACGAAGTATATCTCGGCCGCTAAAGCTTTCACAATCGCCCCTGAGAGCTTCGCTGTGTTCTTGTCGCAACGTCGTCGGTGGATTAATTCTACGGTCCACAATCTAATTGAGCTGATACCACTGAATCAGCTTTGCGGTTTCTGTTGCTTCAGTATGCGCTTCATTGTGTTTGTGGATCTCATCAGTACAATCATCCAGCCTGTCACCGTTGCTTACATCGTTTACCTGATCTACTGGCTCATTCATGACACATCCACGATTCCATGGACGGCATTCGTGCTTCTGGCTGCCATCTACGGTCTGCAGGCACTCATTTTCATCTTCCGGCGTAAGTGGGACATGATTGGATGGATGTTCATTTACATCCTTGGTATCCCTATTTCGTCGCTGGCTCTGCCCCTGTACTCATTCTGGCATATGGACGATTTCTCCTGGGGTAATACACGTGTCATTACTGGAGAGAAGGGCCGCAAGGTTGTTATCTCCGATGAAGGAAAGTTTGACCCGTCGTCTATCCCTAAAAAGACGTGGGAGGAATATCAGGCCGAACTGTGGGAAGCTCAGACTTCGCGGGACGATCGTTCAGAGATTTCTGGGTTCTCTTACGGCACCAAGTCCTACCACCCAATGCAATCTGAGTACGGATTCCCGGCTTCGATACCAGTGTCTCAGTTCAACCTTCCTCGTTACTCGTCTCGCATGTCTTTGGCACCTTCAGAGATGATGAGCCGGAACATGGAGATGGAGATGGAAGACTTGTCTCACTTGCCAGCCGACGATGTCCTCTTGTCGGAGATCCGCGAGATCCTGCGCACCGCAGACTTGATGACGGTGACCAAGAAGAGCATCAAGCTGGAACTTGAGAGACGATTCGGCGTCAACCTTGACGCTAAACGTCCCTACATCAACTCAGGTAAGGCTGCACAAAAACATCTACTTAGAATTTCACTGACATCATTTCCTCTACAGCCACCGAAGCCATTCTTGCCGGCAATCTGTAAACCGATCGTTTCTCGACTACCAAAATGGCATCTACCCGGATGCGCAATAGCCGATTAAACAGCTAGTCATTCACTCTAGCTGACATGATCATAAAAACCTCCATCTGTCCATGACATTGACGACGATTGCATCAACATCATCATTATATCGTTATCGTTATCTTTTTATCTGCAAACAATCTCCCTCCAAAACGCATGGTTAATCAATGAACGTCGTTGTCGTTCCTGTTACATTCTGTTTCATTAGCTGTACAAAACAGCTCTGGCGTGGCGCTGTACATTATGTTTATATTCTTGTTTTCTTTTTCTCTTGTTTCTAATGTGTGTTTTTGCCTGCATATGTCTGTTTGTCATTATGAGGCATATTGAGCGGTTGATTTGTTTCTTGCAAGGTCGACCATGTTCATTAGATAGTCATCGCTTTTTTTTTACAGCCAAGTACATATACAAAGAATGAATGTATAATGCACACAAAGCTACCAATCTTTCATTATCAAGTTCATGGCACTAAGACCGACAAATTCAACCTTAGTGGTTCAAGTTCATTTGTAGGGAAACACTAAGAAAACAAGTTGATAGTAGTAACTGTACAAACATCATCCCATATACTATGTCCATAATAAGTACTATGACAATCACAAGTTCAACAAATAGAATAATATTTATATAGATATATAGCCTTTGTTATATATAATAAATATAAATATAAAAAAGAACAAATAGACAATATCATGAAAATAAGTCTTTTAAATAACATTACTCCTACTATCAAATATTTCAATTAAGCTAAAGTAATGTATCCATAGGGAGCAGCGCCCGAGAAAGTTACAGAATATACCAGCTAGCCAACGAATAGCTCCCAAAGTGCGCATGTCTTTTATGGGGGCGTCCCGGAGAGCCAAACTAAGCAATCGCCGTCTGGAAATAGCAGGGAATCTTTGACCTCAACAACACTCTAAGGAGGTACCATGATTTCCGCAACTGCCCGCCCATAATCAACGGGTGGGCATTAATCCTTCAGCCATTCCACAAGTCCCTGTTGCATGTCAACTAACAACTAGCGAAGTTGTGTAGATCACGTGATCTGGATGCCTGTGCGGTGCCTCCCGCCGTCCGTCTCAATCCGTCCTCAACTTTGGTTCCATTCCATTCACTTCTGCTTTAAAAGGTCATGGAATATAGAAGCTGGTGTTTATAATGGCCGATAGCGCATATCCATACGACACTGGTCTAGTGCGCGAGCTTCTAAAGAATAAGCGCAAGTCCCGCGGCATCCGATCCTGTTTCCCCTGTCGACATCGCAAGGTCCGCTGCGACGGCCAGGTTCCTTGCTCCAGCTGTGTCAAACGCAGCCATCCTGAACTTTGTCGTGTGCCGACATCTTCTGAGACTGGGAACGAGGATTGTCTTCCCTCCGCCCCTGCCGACGTTCCTCAGGGACCATCTCAGAACTATAATTCGACGTGAGCCGCCACTCTAGAACTCCCTGCCCAAGCTGATACTCATTCCCCAGGAACCTCGAAAATGACACTTTGTCGGCTAACCCAGGTGACGCAACAGCGGCCATGATCTCCCGCTTGGAGGCCATTGAGGAACAAATCGCCTCGCTCAAAGCTGATCTTCTGGCTACGGCGGCGGCGACAACAACCACGCCTGCCTCGCAGCCCAGCCCGCGGACTGGCAGCGTTGTCCGACTACCTGGCATGCGTGTTCGACCTGCTAGCAAATCACCTGGCCGGTACGTTGTCGAAGATGCTACAGGTGCAACGATCTACCTCGGTCGACACGCGGACGCACCACTGGCGCTGGGTTGCCGCCAGACCACGATATCGGCGATGACGGGAGATCTTTCTCTGCAGGATGTCCTGATCAATCAATGCATGCCGCGAGCATACCCTTTTATAAACCTCTGGGGTGCAGAGGCCACCCTGAGCGATGTGTGCCAAACGCTGCCTGAGGATTCGGACGTGATCCGGTTGGTTGCCCCTTCCTTGTATTTGCTCTGGTGGATGAGGCGCAATGTGCTAATGGATATTGCAGCTACTGGCAGGCGTACCAGACCAAAGCGTACCCGTTTTACCCAGCGCTGGCGGCAATTGATGAGTTTGCACAGGCGTTGTTCGCTTTCTTGGACCAGCGGATGCTGGCACACGAGGCGATGATGCCGCCGGAGGAGCCGAGCTCTTCTTGGATGGCGCTGCTGTTTGCTGTTCTTGCATGTGGGGTCCAGTTCTCGGATGATCCCATCCAGGAGCGCGATTTGCGGTCCAAAGTGCTTGGTAGGTTGACTTTGTGGTGAGAGGATTGTATTCGAGTCAAGGCGCTGACTGTGGGCAGTTTGCTCGTCATTTCAATGTCTGCGTATGTCCAACTTCTTTTACCAGACTAATACAGACCAAATTCAGGCCATGGCCTTGATTGGGCACTGTCTGCGAAACAATCTGGATACCAACAGCGCGTGGATCCTCATGGGTAAGAGAAGGCACCATTACTTCTATTCTCTGCGGCCTCTGTATTGATTGACGCAGGCGCGACTATACGACTAGCGCAAAGTATCGGGCTTCATGAAGCGTCTCCATCTTTGCCGGAGGCAGAGCAGTTTGAGCGAAGCAGATTATGGTAGACTTCCCAGAGCCCTTGTACATTGCATTGTCTGAATGACTACTAGGTGGATGCTCATCTGGCAAGACACGTTCCTCTCTTTCACATACGATCGTCCTTTGGGAACAATAGCGATGAACTGTTCAATCCCATACAAACATGACACGGATGGTCTAAGCTTCCAGGAGTGTGTCTTCGCTATTTGCCATCAGATCATCGAAGAAGCGCGCCAAGAAACCACAGATGGCCCGCAGGACCCCTTAGAGAGCATGCGCGAATCCAAACGCCAGCTCGATGGCATCCGCGATGCCGCCGCCCCTTTCCTTGTCGACAAGCGTCGATGCGTCTCGCTGCAGGACCATCTCGAGCGACTGGCGCTTGATATTCATCTCGGGTATGTGACCTGCCGAATTAACCGTGTATACCTGGATGGCCACACTGGCGCGCCCTTTCCAGCCGCCGTAGCCGTGGACTGCGTGCAGCGCGCGATGCAAGCTATTGAGAGCTTTCTCGATCTCCACCGATACTCAGCCAGCGTGTGCCGCTCCTGGGCCTTTGTTCACAACGCGGTAAGCTGCGCCATCACGCTCAAAAGCCTCAACCATGCGCCAGTCGATGAGCGGCGCAAGTCGGATCTCCTTGTGCAGCGACTGATAGCTGTGCTCGAAAAGGAGGAGAAAGAATCCGAGTGGTGCGACGACGACACCAATGTGCGCTACTTCGGGCCGTACTCCCGGGCTCTTAAAGCCCTGCGCGAGATTTGCCACAGTGCCGGCTGAATACTTGCTAATATTCACAACACGTCTATACAACACGTCTAATTAACACTACAAATTACTTTGTCTATCAACTTATATACGCAATGGTCTCAATCGTCAATCACACGCGGCGCTTAGCCCTCACATAAAAGTTCAAAGGCCGAATGAGCTGGAACTCTGGGTCATAATCGATGGCCTCTTGACCGTCACGAACAAACTCGTACCTACTCACCAGCTCGGCCAGCAGGATCTTTACCTCCAACAAAGCAAAGTTGAAGCCGATGCAGCCGCGCGGCCCCGTTGCGAACGGTACATAGGCGCAGCGGTGGCGGTTCTTAACCTCGTCCCTGTCCCAGCGGTCCGGGTCGAAGCGGAAGGGATCACGCCAGACCTTGGGGTTGGTGTGGATGGCATATAGGGCAGGCACAATGATGCTATCGGGAGGAAGGCGATAGCCGCCGGGGAGGACGACGTCGGTCTTTGTTGTGCGGCCCGGCTGGAAGGAGGCATTGTGTAGTCGCTGCGTCTCCTTGACGAACCGGTCCATGTACGGCAGGCTGTGTGCCAGGTCCGGCGTCCAGGTCGTCTGATTTCGCTCGCCAGCAGGGCCTACGATACCGTGTTCTACCAGCTCCGCGTACAGCCGGTCCTGCGTACCCTCGTACGTGACGAGGCAGTAGATCAGCCATGACAGCAGCGCCGATGTGGTCGTGAACCCAGCCCCCGTCACAATCAGCATGTTGGCCAGAATCAGGGATGGCGGGAAGTGCGCTCCTGCGTCGTCGACTGCGTGCAACAGGTAGTCAACGACACATGTAGCAGACAACGCGGCGTCGGCCATGGGCGCGTCGGTGCTGCACGACTCGGCCGTCACCGTGTCGACCTGCTCCTGCAGCAGCGAGTAGATGGTGTGCTGGACGTGGCGCAGACGAGCCGGGTCGCCGAAGGGCATGTGGCGGTACCATTCACCGCGGGCTGTGATTTTCTTGTTGAGCGAGAGCAGACTAGCAATGTTGGTGACGATGGGGTGCAGGGGGCTGTCGACGGCGTTGAAGTGGCCGAAATCCTTGCCGAGAGAGAAGCGGCCAATAGTCTGCGATGCCAGTTTTATCATGTACTGGTATACGTTCCAGGACTCATCACGGGCGTCCAGCTCGTCGAACACGGGCAATGACTTGCGTGCGCACTCCTGCATCAGCCCCGTGTAGTGCCGCACTGCTTTGGGCCCCATAGCTGGCGGTAGGTACTTGTGCGCCAGCCGCCAATTCTCCGTCTCCGTGTCACCGATAAAGATGGCTGTGTTGTCTTTGACGCCCCAGAGTGGGTGATCGGAATTGATCTTCTTGGTCATGTACGCTGACTCGGCGAAACACACTGCTGCCACCTGCGGATCGTCCGTCAGGTAAATCGTCTTGCCCATATTGGTAGTCTTGATGACAGGGCCATATTTGCGGAACAGCCGGTAATGGTTGCCAAGGTGGTCCGGAAAAATCTCATAGAAGCTGCCAACGAGCGGCAGGCCTGGCGGGCCCTGTGGCGTCTGCACGGCGTTACCGTCGATGCGCAGGCCTACGGGAGAAGTGGACGTCGCGGCCGCGAGCACCTCGGACACCGTTGTCAAGGTATCATTAGAGGAGGTGTGGAACGAAATTCCGGTAGGCTGAACGACATGAAATACACCCCCGACTGCGCGTTGGAGTTCCTCGAACTTCCAGAGGGCGTCGACTTCGAGACACTGCGCTGTGGCGACGACTTCGCCTACGAGGTAGAAATGACACTGCATGTTGTAAGGGAAGTATGGACTGCTGTAGGACAACAGACCGGGATTGCCTTTTGGCAAGGGTAACCTTTATATTCCATTAAAGACGAGATTTGGCCTCTGCATCTCCAATGTCTGCTTGAAGTCACGTTAGGGCAACCAGTGTTCGTACGGACTTCGCACGAACTTCGGCCGAGGTTCCAATCTTATGTTTGCACGGGTAACCGGAAGCATCACGCTCAGGGTGTGAATGATAGTTATAAAGTATGCCCTGTGTCTGCACGAAATAAACCAGCCTACAGCACACAATTTGCCATGGCGACATTCACCCTGGAGCAAGTGCAAAAGCACAACACGGCCGACGACCTCTGGATCGTCCTCCACAACAAGGGTTAGTCACTTTACTCTTTTGCCTCGCAGGATATGGAAGTTGACCGTCAATGTAGTCTACAATGTTACCAATTATCTAGAAGATCATCCCGGTGGAAAGGAAGTTCTCATCGAAGCCGCCGGTACCGATGCCACCGAAGCTTTTGAAGAAATCGGCCACTCCGATGAGGCGCGCGAGCAGCTCGAGCCCTACTTTGTTGGCGACTTACCTTCAGAGGTACTATCTTAACCCCTATTCACACTACATACCCTGACTTGCCTAGGAACAAGCCGAGACTGTGGAGATCTACCGTCCGACCTTCGAACAAGTGTCACAGTCCGCTGTCGTCAACGTGAAGAAGCCCTCGCCATGGGGATTCCTTCGCACGGCAAGCAAACTCGGATTGAGCGGTCTCGTCATCACAGCCATCGTGACAGTCTATAACCGAGGCATGACGCCCTCAGAAGCCCTCCAGGTTGTGCAGCACTCGGCGCTTTCCTTCATCCAACTCCCACGGGGCGCCGATGGCAATAACGCCAGCCAATTCTGGTTAGGTGCAGGCATCTCCAGCATCATCCAATTCTCCGCAACACTTGGCCTAGGTTTATGGGCGTCAACGAAGCTAGACGTACAGCAAGAGTTCACGCACTATGCCTCTCACAGACCATCCAAGCCCGCGCATCTGATGCACCTTTCCAAGACAACCATCACCATCCCGAGACCAAAGCCTCTCGACCCGCGACAATGGCGACCCTTCACCATGACCCAGAAGACCGAGATCGCCCCGAATGTTTACCACATTATTTTCACCCTGCCGAACCCCGACGACATTCTCGGCCTCCCAACAGGACAACACATCGCCCTACGTGCAACAATCAACGGCACCAGCGTAGCACGCTCATACACCCCCATATCGAACAACAAGGATCGCGGCCGCATCGAGCTCCTCGTAAAGGCCTACCCGCAGGGCGCAATGACGCAGCACCTCGCGCAGATGAAAATAGGCGATACCATCGAGATCCGCGGCCCCAAGGGCGCCATGCAGTACTCCCCACGGTATGCCAAACACATTGGCATGATTGCCGGCGGCACTGGCATCACCCCTATGTACCAGCTTATCCGCGCCATTTGCGAGGATCCGGCAGACACTGATACGCGCGTCTCGCTTCTGTATGCTAATAATACCGAGGAGGATATTTTGCTTCGCGCAGAGCTGGAGGCTTTTGCTCGTGATCATTCAGATAGGTTTCAGGTGCACTATGTGCTGAGTAGGCCTGATGATAGCTGGACTGGGTACCGAGGGTTTGTGAGTGCTGAGCTTATTCAGAGGCATTTGCCTGTTGTTGAACCGGATAGTAAAATGCTGCTGTGTGGGCCGCCGCCAATGATCGGGGCTATGAAGAAGGTGTTGCTGGAATTGGGATGGCCTATGCCTGGGGCGGTGGCGAAGGCTGGGGATCAGGTGTTTTTGTTCTAATAGATTAGTTGAACAATTACAGTTTCACGTATAGAGTCCACTTACCAATAATCGAGCCAGCTTACCAATAGTCCAGCCGCCAAGTTGATAAACCCACACGTAGTAGCAGTATGTCGGTGGCAAATCCCCCCCTAGCATCAAAGATTGCAAGCAAATCTGTATAATCCTTGCTAATATCCTCTAACTCTGACTACGATTTCCCCAGTACATTGAGAGCTACTGAAATACTGATCATTTCATCTCCTCCAGTAAATCATAGCAATAACATACTATGTTGAGACATTCACTGCAGCCAGGCAGCTGTCAGCTGATCCTTCGCCTCTTCTTCCTGCGTGGTCTCCGACCACCACCTCTTCCAACAACAACAACAACAACAACCAACTACTCTCTTGAAATCAGATAGATCCAAATCCATACATTTTTGACCCTCCGTCTTGACATACTAGTACCCTACTTCAATCCCAACATACATATCATACCAACGCACCTTTTAGTAGTATACACCAGCAGCCTTCATCATTTGTAACCCAGCAAGCTCAAAGAGCAAACACCTTCATCATCATCATCATCACCATCCTACAACCAACGACCCACCAGCCCACTACTCCCCCAAAAATGGTCAAAACAGGATTGATTCATCATCCACAACCCGCCTAACCATCTCCATCAAATATTTTAGAAATCCATCCCTAAAGACCACCCTGCTCGGAAACCGGCACAACAACAACAACACCAACCGAGAAGAATCTTCTCCGAACTTCCAGTCTAGTAAGGAGGCTAAACTTGCCAATAACCGATTTTCCTCTTACTTCGGGTCCACTGTGCAGAAGAATGTGCCCATGTGGAGTCCAAGAATTCAGGGTTCGGTACTTGCTGGCTTCTAAACACTCTCTCCGAACTTGTTCTCTGTTCCGAGTCCGAGGCTCTCCGAACTGTATCCGTTCCGTGTCCGAGGGTCTCCGAGGTCATTCCGTTGCGGGTTGGGTTGGGTTGGGTTGGGGTTTCTTCGGCTTCCCGGCATTGTAGTGGATAGGAATTGTATACGTGAAGTTTCGGGATTAAATTACAGGTTCGTGGTACTGGGTATTTATTGGTAGAGTATATATATATATATTTAAATATATATATAAATATAAGATATCTTCCCATCGTACGGATGGACGGTTTTTGTGCTGTGCTGGGATTTCCTATCTGTGCTCTTATATTGTATCCATTTATCTTATACCTTTTTTTTTTTTTTTTTTTACTATACTTCATTTTCCCGATCTACAGCATTCAAAATGTCTACAACTACCATTCCCCATCCTTCCAAAACTCGCCCTATTGTCGTCATAGGCGCCGGTATCCTGGGCCGCCGCATCGCCGCTGTCTTCTCATCTGCCGGGTATACCGTGCACATCAGCGATCCATCATCCTCTGCTCTTGACTCTGCAAGAACTTACGTCTCGACGCACATCCACGAATTCACTACCCATACCCCTACCCCTCATCCGTCTTCTCCGGGCCAAATCTCAACCTTCACCTCTATCCCTGAAGCAGTCGCCACCGCCTGGCTAGTCATCGAAGCCGTTCCTGAGATCCTGCCCTTGAAGAAAACCCTCTTCGCAGATCTCCATGCCCACAGTCCAGCGGACTGCATCCTCGCGTCGAACAGCAGCAGTTACAAATCCCGCCTAATTGGCGGCCATCTGCCACTGTCACGACGGGTCCTTCTCCTCAACATGCACTTCACTATGCCACCGTCCATCCGTACCGTGGAACTAATGACCTGTGGGGAGACGGACGAGCGGGTATTCCCCATGCTCAGTGAGGTGTTGAGTGAGTGTGGAGTTATCCCGGTGACAGCGAGGAAGGAGTCCACGGGGTTCATCTTCAACCGTCTCTGGGCGGCGATTAAGCGTGAAATACTGTTGATTTTGGCGGAGGGGGTGAGTGAACCCAAAGAGATTGATCTGTTGTGGGAGGAGATGTTTGGTAGGAAGGAGAGTTTGCCGCCGTGTCGCTTGATGGATGCGGTTGGGCTGGATACGGTGGCTGATATCGAGGAGAATTATGTGCGGGAGAGGGGACTGGATGGACGGTGGACGGTAGATTGGGTGAGGGAGAAATTTGTGGGTGTTGGGAGGGTCGGGAAGAAGGCTGATGAGGGGTTGGGAGGATTGTATCCGCCTGATCTTACTGAAGACGTGAACGGGAAGAAGGTGGTGGGAGAAGCGCCTCTGCTATATCTTCTTGATGTTGGGCTGGGAGCGAATACTTCTGATATCGAGAAGGTTTCTACCGCTGGGAGGATATTGAAGTTCCAGCCAGGTACCACTGGCATGCCCGTCACCATTATCTCAGGCCAGTCTCTCCCGGATGGGATCGACGTGTCCCAGACGACAGGACGCATCTTCTGGACGAACATGGGGCAGTCGACATCCACGCACGATGGATCTGTGCACTCGGCGACACTGGATGGTCAGGATATATGCACCTTACTTCCAGCTGGGGCGGTGCACACCCCCAAACAGCTTGTCGTTGATGATACAACGCAGCACGTGTATTTCTGCGATCGCGAAGGGATGAGCGTGCATCGGGTGCGGTTCGACGGGTCTGGCCATGAGGTGCTGGTGCGGACAGGAGCGCTTGATGATGCCACCCACCGCGGAGACATGACGCGGTGGTGTGTGGGAATTGCATTGGACCGGAAGAACAGACATGTGTATTGGACGCAGAAGGGCCCGAGTAAAGGTGGGAAGGGGCGGATATTCCGTGCTGGTTTGGAGGTGCCGGCTGGACAGACGGCTGATGGTCGGGAAGATGTCGAAATGGTGTTGGAGGGATTGCCGGAGCCGATTGATTTGGAGTTTGACGAGGAGGAGGGAATGCTATATTGGACCGATCGGGGAGAGCATCCGTGGGGGTGTTCGATGAATAGGGTTAAGGTTGGTGGTGAGGTGGCGGTGCAGGAGTCGAGGGAGGTTCTGGCAAGGCATTTTAATGAGCCTATTGGGTTGAAGGTGGATAGGAAGGATAAGAAGGTGTATGTTGCTGATTTGGGAGGGAGTATGTATTGTGTTGATTTGGAGGATGGGGAGAAGAAGGTGGTGTGGAGGGATGAGGGGTGTTATACTGGGGTTGCGTTGGTAAGTGAATAGGTCTGGGTTTTGTCTGTATTTAACCGCTTCATCTCAACCCAAAAGCAGTGCATGTGTCTTTAGTAGTTACATTCAGGTCCAAATATTTGCATAAATACAACAACCTAATCAAACGACGCCAGCGCCGCTTCCCCATCCCCATCAACATCAACATCAACACCCCCCTCTCCTCCCAAAGTCTCATCACTAATAGCAACCCCAATAGCCGAAGGAGAAACAGCGCCCGCACCAGCAGCAGCCTTCCTCCCCTCATGCTCCATGCCCAGGATCTGCCACGCGCGACCCATCATCCCATGACCTAATCCCTGAGGGAAATTCGCCCCGTAAGCCGAATTCCGTGGCATATGGCCACGCGCACGATCACGATCCTGCTCGCGAGCCAGCCGGTCTTTCTTGGCGGCCGCGACGCGGTCTTGTTCGCGCTCATGGGAGATGATTTCGTCGCGCCATTCGGCCCAGCGGGAGAAATTTTCGCGCTGGCGGAGGACTTGGTAGCGGAGTTTGGTTTTGGAGGGGCGCCAGCCTGTTCGGGTATTGGTGGAGTTGGAGGTGGTAAGTGTGGATTTGAGGTCGCAGATGTTGGAGTCTTTGGTGAGTTTGAGGAGGTGGGTGAAGACTTCTCTGCTTTCGTGGGCGGTTTGGTGGAGTTTTTCGGTGGTGGGGTTTGTTGTGGTTGGGGCAGAGGTGAGGGGGACGTCGAGCCAGGAGTAGAGGTCTGCTGAGCGTTGGACGGAGAAGGGGTCGAGCATGTTGGCGCGTCGGTTTTCTTCGCGGAGGTAGCGGACGGCGGCTTGGAGGCTTTCGACTTCGGCGCGGAGGGCTTCGTTCTCGCGCATGGTGGCCAGGGAGACGCCGGCGTCGACGGCGATGCCTTCGGTTGTGGTGGCGCCGGTGGTGCCGGAGATGCGTTTGACTTTGTCGAGGCGGGATTTGATCTCGTCGCGCTCGGCTTCGAGGGCTTCGAGGTCTTTGCGTTGCTTTTCGACGGTGGAGGTGAGTTCGGTTTCCCGGGTGCGGATCTTCTCCAGCTCGGCTTCTAGGTCTTTCACCATTGATGCCTTTTTGCTGGCTTCGCGCATCCGGGACTCGACGAGCTCGACCTTGATGGCTTGCTCTTCGATAGCTTGGTCTTTGACGCCGAGGGCGGTGGATGCTTCGTGGATCTCATTCTTCAGGCGACGGATCTCTTCGTCGGCGTCGGGGGAGATGGTTTTGTTGGATTTGAGCTCTGCGGATCGGACGGTCCATGGGGAGGGACGCCGCTCGAATTCTGTCGTGATGGACAGATCGGACGTGATGGAGTCGAGCTCCTCGAGGAGGCCGCCGAGGCTGCGGAGTCGGTTGCCGATGAGGAACAACGTATCGCTGCTTTCGCTTCCTGTTTCGGAGGGCTGGGCGTAGAGGGTGGAGATCTGAGACATGGTGTTCAATGCTTCTTCCAGGGATAGAGGCTGCGTGCGGCTTTCGTCGATGATGAGGAAGACGATGTTCTCTCCAATCTGGCGAGTCAGATCAGACAAGTCTTTGGCGGCCTCTTCAGCTTGTTTGAAAGGGCCGACAACGTCCTGCGAGAGAGCAAGAGACCTCGAGCGGAGATCTTCCAGGGAGCGGTTAATCTTTCCCATGGCAACCTTTAGACCTCGAGCTTGAGACACAAGGCCTTCCATCTTGTTGTACAGGAAGGTGTGCTCTTCGTCGCCGCCTTCTGGCACCACAAGCTTCGACTGGAACAGCGACTTGAGACGTGAGATTGCCGAGGCTGCGTGGTCGGTGTAGGCCTGGGCCAACATGGAGCGCATGCACAGCTCGTCGGCGAACGTTTCCAAGGAGCTGGGAAGAAGAGTCTCGGTGAGATGGGACAAGAGTGCAATAGACCGCTGCAGCTCAACAGCACACTTTTTCATGTTCACGTCGTTCTTCTTCAGAGCTTCCAACCAGAAGTTTAAGGTGCGCTCAACCGGCTCCATCTCGAACAAGGCTCCTTTCATACTCTCAAACCCTTCGGAAGAACAGTTCGTGATGTAGTTCACAAACCGATCGCAGAGAGAAGCAATATACAAGAGCTTCTCCATGACCTCGTGGGCAATGAAGAGGTCTTCGAGGGGAGTAGATACAGACGCCTGTTCGGAAACCTTCTCACGGAAAGTGCTGGTCATCAAAGTCGCCTTGAAGCTCACGCGCTTGAAGCGCAGAAGCGCGAGAACGGCATTCCGCTCACTCTCGTAGTATTCGGGAAGATACAGCTTGGTAATGGACAAATGCTGCGCCGCTTCCTCTGCTTCCATACGGTTGAGTTCAATGTCGATTGTCTTCGTTTGCGCCTTTGAAACCGAGGCTTGAAGCTTAAGATTAAGGTCCATCATGGCCCGGGAGCGCGTGGAGAGGTCAGTAGCCTCTGCTTCGGAGATCTGTTGGGATGCACGCATATCTTCCAGGTCTCCCTGAAGAGTAGAGACTAGCTCTCGGAAGCGGACAAGCGTGTATTCTAGATCCTCGATGACTTCGTCTTGCTGGGCGAGCCGGCGACTTTGCTCAGTGAAGAGACCGTCCTTGTAGTCAATCTCCTCCTGCAGCTGTTTCTCCGTCTCGATGTGGTTGTATTCAAGTTCGTCGTTGATCTCTTTCAGAGCCTCCAGATCCTCAATGGCTGCTTTTAATTCGTTGATATCCTCCTGATAACGCATGTTCTTGTCGGCAAGTTCCTCGATCATTTCTTCAGCCCCAAGGGCCGTCTCCAATTGCTGCTTCAGGTGTTCCACATTGTTTTCCGCTACGAGCAGCTTCTGTTTTGTCTTCTCGTATTTAGACTTGATGGCGGTATATTCCTCCAAATCCTGCTGAAGCTCCTTGACTTGATCCCTGAGTTCCGCTTCCTGCTGCTGGGTCATATCACGGAGGCGTAAAAGAGCCTCTCGAAGACGATCATTCGTCTTCTCCATCTGCAACCATCCATGGCTGGACTTTTCTTCCGGGCTCATGACCTGGCCAAGTTCCTCATTTTCTTCGCGCAGAACCTCCGCTTCCAGTTCGAGCTCTTCAACCCTCAACCTGAGAGTCTCCACTTCGTGCTTGAAAGCATCCGCGGTCTCTTCCGCCATTTCGCGGTCCAGAGTGGCCATTTCCATAAGCGAATCATGTTCCGCCTGGAGTCGCTCGACTTCCTCGAGCCTCGCTTCCGAATCTTTCAGCTTCTTCCGTAGCTCGTTAATCTCAAGCTGCTGCGGCTGATACTTCGCTTGCAGCTTCTGGATGATGCCTTCGAACTTGTCTCGTTCCGACTGAAGTTGTTCCAAAGTCTTTAGCTTCTCGCGGTCGTCAGCCCGTTTCTTTTCCATGACCCGGAGCTTAGTTTTCAGCTCATCTAGCTCCCTTGCTACAATATTGCCACTTAGCGACTGTCGATGTGACGGAGTGGGTTGGGGTCTTTGGCTAGTAGCTGTCCGCAAAGAACTCGGTGTGGGCTTCGGAGCCTTGGGCGCCAGATCCGCATCATCTGCACCCTCCTCTTCGACATCATGAGAGCTTGTCTCCAACTCCTCAGACTGAGGGCTTGCTACACTTTCTGCTTCTTCCGATGCCTTGTTTGAGCCCGTGGGCCGGAGCACAGGTCGCTTTGTCAATCCTGACGGTGCCGACGCTGTACCCTGGACACTGGGTCTGCCAGTCCTGCTAGCTGGTGCAGATATTGAAGGCCGTGATGCGCGAGTTGTCGCCGAAGGAGGAGCTGGCGGGCCCATAGACGTCTTGGAGCTGATGGATGTCCGAGTCTTGGGTGCCACCGCAGACGGCCGCGGTGTGCTGCTTGCAGACGATCTGTTCGAGAGGGGCGTGGAGGAGGGTTTCGTCGGTGACTTCGTAGGGGACTATCGTGCGACCAGCATTAGCGTCTTGATATTACTATTGGCGTGCTAGAGGGACGGTACGATACCTTTGTTGACAAGCGTTGAGCGGCTCCTCTCAGGGCCGAGGTCGGACTCGAAGCCCCGGCGCTATGTCTCTTTGCAGTCGCAGACGACAGGGAAGTCGGTCTCTTGAGTCCGGAGTTCCCTGGGGTGACACCACTTTGGGCGCGACTTCGGCTGGCCGGGGTGGTGGTGGCATTCCCCTTAGGAGCGGCTGGCTTAGTCGGTCGAGCGGGCTGTTCAATAATTGCAGCGATGGCAGTGGGCCGAACGAACATGCCAAATCCCGGTTCGCAGTCGAAGTATCGTTCTCCTTGAACTGAGCCATCGTTCTTGCCCGTGGGCTCGTCCAATTCCACGCCGATCCAGTCTCCCGCAGCGAATTGTGTCGAGCCAACAAACCGAACGGTGGCCTGCCGACCGTCGGTCAAAGTGACCACATGGCCCGGAGATAGGTCAGCCATATTGAAGCATTCAGGCCGATAGAAAGCCCCGGTGCAGGATTGTCCTGTCGTGGAAGAGGGAGGGGAATGGGATGTTGTTGTCTTGTTGATGGTGTCTGTTCGGGGAAGCTCCCCCGTTCGGAGCCTCAGGACGCGACTCGTGCACGGTTGTTTATGCCTGAGGCATAAAGATATACAGTAGCCCTACGTCTATCTTCACCTTGACTGATCTGCTTTCTTTGACTACATTCGACTCCACTATTTTTGAATTTGCAGTGTGCGCTATTGAAATGGTCATATTCTCGTGAGTATCAATTACACTATATGTGCATTCATGAGTTTTTAAGTATGTGCCTGTACCCAAGATAAGAACCCGTCAAAGTCAGAATGATAATATCGCTCATAGTCTTCGTGACATCTTGAAACCCAAGAGGCCGTGCACATCTATAAAATCTATCTATCGCATAAAGTGATTGGGTCTATACTTCCTGCTTGGACTTAAACAAGTCGGGGAAGCAGGTCCTAAGTTCCTCCAGGCTGCGAATCATATATTGCGAGGCCGGCACGTGGGGGAGGGGAATCCCAGGCTCAACGAGATGAGCCACGGCCCAACCCCGGGCGGCAGCATGAGTACAATTCAGACCGGAGTCGTCTGAGCATAGTGGTCAGCACTTAATCTGGGCTTGTACAGTGAGGTAGGATATTTGAGGGACAACTCACCAACAAAGTAGCACTCTGACGTGCTGGAAGCTCCGGCCTCCTTTTCCGCCCTCTCATACATAGCCTGGCTGGGTTTGCACACCAGCGGCAAATTGCCATAGTCACAGTATGTGATGCCCTCAAACATGTCGTCCACCTGCAGCAACTTCACCACCCGTTTCGCATGGGTCACATAGGCGTTTGTGAGAAGCCACATTCGCACTTTGCTGCGGTCAATGTCTTCGAGCAGCTGGCGCAGCTTGGGGTCCGGTTTGAGGATATCGTCGAGCGGCAGCGCATCGTCCACTTCGCGGTTGAATTCCAGGGGGTCGATCTTGTGATGGCGCGTAAGACCTTCAATGGCGAGACCATATTCCTTGTAGTACTTCATGTGGAGCATGTGTGCGTCATCGGCATTCAGGGACAGGTGCTTGATAAAGAATTGGTCTAGAAAAAGAAGATGATTGGGTCAGCGCATATATATAGGAGAGAGTGCGGTCGCAGTGGCTCACTGATCAATTTCTGCATCTCATCGTGGATGTTGCACCCTTCACGGAGTAGATGTGTCAGTATGTCCTGCGATCAATACCTCGGTTCGCGAAATTCCCACCTTTGGAGTAGAGCTGCGAACACACTCAGGTCAGTGACGAAGTGTAGACTGGGAGATGAGAAACGCGTCAACATACGCAGTTGTCAATGTCAAAGAAGAAGACCGGACGAGGGTCCAGCGGCGCACTGGCCGGACTGTTGGTGGTGGCCATTGTTCGTCGGGGGTATGAAGGTATACTGTTGCGATGCGGAGAAAAGGAACTCGGGCGGTGGCAGGAGAGATTACAGCGGAGGAATGGAGAGGAGGGTTGGACGTGGTATGTTCTGGGAGCGAAAGGAATTCGCAAGAGAGAGCGCAGGGTTGAATGATTCATCGCAGACACATTAATGCCACCAGCGAAAGAAAAGCGAGAGAGGGGAGGGGGGGGGGGCCATACGGCGCAACAGGAACCGCGAAACCGAATGACTCCCTCCGGCGATGGCGGGAGCAGCCGGCGCGGCATTTCCACTTACACTGCTACATACTAGTCTAGTACTCTTTCCTTTTTCATTCCCCGATCAGGTTCTTTTACATTAATTAGTACTAGGCTCGGGGTCAACATTTTCTTGCGTTTGCTTCACCGAAGCCGCTGTCAGTCGGCTGACTTGGGTAGACGGCCATATCTACGAAGGTGATTTGATTTCCTCTCATTCGGGGATCAAACAGACTTGTACATCCAATCAAGCCATGTGTGAATGCGCTGGGAAGTGACTAAGAAAGAAACTAGCGGTGCGCGCGGTGCCTTTGCAAGCTGGCCGCCTCGACGAAGCTGGCCTCGCCTTTTCTCCTCTGCAAACCGCCCCCGTCCACGTACTTCCCGCACCTCCATCCATCACCCATCCACCGCCATCACCGTCCTTCCCTCCCATTCCCTTCCCTTTCCTTCCCCCCCCCCCCAATCCTTCCCTCTCGCTCACCCTCCCTCATACTCAATATTATCCACTCCTCACTCTTGGCCACCCATTCTAGTCTCCCTCAGCCAAGTCAAGTGAGGCAGTGAATTGCATCAAAGTGCTACAGCCGAAAGAAAAGCTGATGCAGGAAACTGATTCGGTCTACTGGTGTCTGGTGTGACAAAACAGCTCTTCTCGGAGCAACTTAAGTTTTTCTGTCGGTCCTCCGGGTATTATTTCTTATTTTAGACCATGGCAACAGCCCAGATTTCGCCGGCCTCAGGTAGTAATATACCTACCAGGCTGCCTGCAAGTGAGGAGATGCAGGAGTATGAAAAGATTTTGAAAATAAGTGACGATATCTTTTCTGGAACTCACCCTAGATTGAAGGTTCCCCAGCAGTTCGTGCGCAAGCCCGCCTCTCGAGGCCCCCCTGTCTCGACTCCCACCCAGGTAAAATCGGGTGACCAACTCAAGTCTCCCCCGAAACCCCAGCTTCCTCCGTCCGCTCCGTTAGCTCAGAGGCCGGCGACATCGCAGCCTCCCAGTGCCGGAAGTGCGCCTTCCGGCGCGACCGGGCCGTCGCGTTTAGTCCCCAAGCCTGCCTCGGAGATTGATCCCATATTTTTGACCAAGTCAGATGATCTAGTCAGAGCTGAGATACAACTACAGCGGCAGCGGGTGGAGAGAGTGCTGCGGGAACAGTTGGAACAAAAAAGGCAGGATTCGAGGCAGAAGGCCTCTCTACAAGACACAAAACCAGACTTTGACGTTTCTGATGTGCTAGTGAAGGCTTTTGAGATGGTCAAACCGTCTCCGTCCGTGGATGCACCTGGTGCTGGAGAGCCTGGTGACTCTTTTGACGAGAACTCGTTCTACTCCAGTAGAGCCCCTGACTCTCCCCAGCAGGGCGAGCCGCAGAGGCAGTCTCCAGCTCCCCAATCTAATTCGGAGGAGCTGGCTACTGAAGCTCCAGCAGAGAACTTTTCAGATGAGTTGCAACGGCTTGAAGCCCTCAACAGAACTGGATCGGATCAGGATGTGCAAGATACTTACCCCGTGGCAGACCACCTAGTACCCTATGATCAGAGGCAGCCGCACCATGCTGAGGTGGACGTCGCCGTCCGCAAATATCCCGAACCCGACCAGCCGACCGACGCGTATGAAGAACCAGAGTATTCACCACCGGCCCCCGGGGTAGCGCCTATGGAGAGGGACGATAATTATGGGTCTCAACGGGGTTATGCGAACGGGACAAAACGACGAGCACCGGAAGATCGAGTGCCCCAGCGGCATCGTCGGTCTCGGAGATCACTCTCGCGGGGAGGCGATGTAAGAATTGTGCGAAACCACATAACCTCGCCTGCTGCTCCGCAGCCGTCCAGAGTCTCCCCCTTAGCCATCGCCAAGGTGCCCTCGGTCCATCAACTAAAAGACTCGCGTCCGGATTACGGTCCAGAGCGCCATGCTAGCCCTGAGGTTCCTGCTCAGCCATTGACGTCTAGGAAACGTAGGAGGTTGCAGGATGACAGAGGTCGTCCATCGTATACTAGAGCGCCAGCAGCGGCCCATGTCGAAGAAGCATTCATCAAGGAAGAGCCCGTCTCACCTCCGCCATTCACAGACACTCAACACGCTTACCGGACCCGCCAGCCACAGGAAAGACCAGTGTACATTGACATTGCTTCCCCGCGCTACACTCCAGTATTAGAACGGAGAGAACCACAGATTAGGGAACCGGCATATGAGTACGAGGTGTACGAGCCCCATGCTGAGCCTGGAATTCAGCGCACCCTTTCGAGACTTAGTGCTCGCCGGCCAGTCCGGGACGATCAAGACTTGCGCAGAGTTGCCAGCTTGCATCAGGCCCGGCAACCCGAGTATGCTCGTGAATTTGTTGACCAAGCCAGTCCCCAATCCGTGCGGGCTGGGTCTTATGCTATTGTTGAGCGTCCACCACCTGAGAGAATTCGATACTATGATGAGCTGGCGCAGCCACCTCCTACGAGACGTTATATTCCGGCTGGCGAATCGCCCAACTCACCACGATATCATGATGCTTACTATGAAGAGGAACCTGCAGCACGGGTGATGGCACCTCCACCGCGTCGGATAGTGGTTGACGAGCATGGCAATCAGTACTATGAGACGTTGCCTGCTCCAAGACTGCAGGCTATGCCTCCGCCCTCTACTCGACTACCCAGAAGTGACGTCTACGACGACCGTACACCAGTGCGCCCGGCAAGCGTGCGAGCGGCGTCTGTTCTTGAGGATCCGTATGGCGGTCGGCGATACGTGCAGGACATGCCACCTCCAACTGCCTACCGACGAGTCACCGACTACGCTCGTCCGGCTCCCAGCGAACGGCGACCGTACACTGGGGCTTTGGATGAACGAGAGCCGTTTCCCCGTAGTGCCAGCGTGCAAGTGACGGAATACGGGACTCGCCGCCCCCCTTACCTGGACGAGGCCGAGCTTCCCCGGGAGCGGATCGTCCGGATGCCGAGTGTGCGCCCGCCCACTAGTCGGTACGAGGAGCCGCCGATGATCCAGCGGGTGGAGAGCGTGCGCCCGAGCGGTCGAGACGTGAGCGTCTACATGGATGATGCTGCTGCTCGGCAGCCGAGAGAATACATTGAGCGGCCTGTATACGTTGCTACGCGCCCTGTGCGGGACGAGCGCTACTACGAGGGCAGTAACCCAGCGGAGAGGGTCATCCTTGACGGGGGAAGGGACGTAGTCCACCGAGTACCTCAACGCTACTGAGGAACGACGTATCATACTATAATGACCACGTGGACATGGAGATGATGGCCCACAATGATTGATTGATTGATTGTATTTGGTGCATTCGCCCGGGGATATATCAATTGCCTTTGATTGATTTGAATTCTGTTGTATCTAAAAAGCGTTTTGTATTTGGATGTGTCGAGCATCCTGTACCATAGTATAGCAGCACATCACTATGAGGGGGGGGGAAGAGGGGGGAAAGAATAAGAAAGGCATGAATAGCCGCATGATCTCTTGCATCAGAAATACCACTACAAATTGTTTAGAAATCGGGTGTCAAGTGACATGATTGATTCCACAACACAATGGTTTCATCATCGCAAGACGGCTGTTGACAGGTTCCGAGGGAGGTGTAGTATGAACACGATATAAAATGCAAGATCATCAACCTACCGTGGCCATTACGCTGGCAAATTTTCGGCATTCGAATTGGAAGATAGCAAGCAGACAAGATACCAGAAAATAGAAAAGACAACTGAGACAAGGGGTACTAGGTTAGGTGTATAGTAACCTCCTTGCTCCTTGGGTAGATAGGGAAACAGACATGCCTCCGCCGGTCATGTTAGGGAATCTCCTCGCGGACGGGAAGAACATAGAAAAACAGAATTGGTTCATCAAGTTATGTATTGATCATTATTGGAAGAAGATCTGATATGGTATGACTGCCGTGTGTGGACATGGCAGTTAGTAGTTGACTTGGTTGGTTAGTTTGAATGGGGAAAGGGGGGTTCATCTAATGTAGTGGATTCCTCAGCGCCATTTATATGTTGGGTAGTAAGTAGTACGTACTAGTACTAGGTAGTTTGGTGACTGACCTATTCGAGAAAATTCTGCAGGCAGCAAAGAATAGAAACTAAAAGTAGGTATGTGTTAACTAAGAGGTTACTAAGTTAGTTGGTTAGGTAGTTCCGTTTAGTTAAGTGAGTTAAGGGATCGATCGGTAGTCTAGTCTATACTGTGAAAGGTAAGTGGCAGTCTTTATATCAGAGTATGCAGTGGTAACAGTACGGAGGTATATACAGTAGATGGATAAGGACTTTAGAGTAGTAGTACTTTTGGCGCTTGCCTTTGTTTCTGTGTAGTCTATTTGGTTTTCTAACGGTCCCTGCTGCTGCTGATTATCTGGTGATGGCTATGGCATTATATGTAATCTAGTATGTAATGTTACCTACCAGCTACATAGTAACTTACTCATCTAAGCATGCAAATATAGAATGAACAGCACACACCACTAGTAGTACCTATTCTCAGAGCATACATACACACATACCCCAAAGTATTTACATGCAATGTCGATATGTAAAGTAACTTACAAAGTACTAAACAAGTAAAGCAAGTAACTTCCTACCATGAAATGATGGTGATATCCAGACCCACATCCCATGTCGCCGATAGATGACGTCGACGAAATATATCTCTCTTCGATCGTTGGCTGATCTTACTCACTTTCACATCACCTTCACCTTACTTGATCATCACTACAATATTATTTTCAATTAAATCATCGCTAATCTTCCTTCATGTTGAGATAGATATAGTTGTAGACTGTCATGCCATTATTGTGGTGGGTTGTGGGCTGTGGGTTATGGTGAAGTGGTTACATCAGTGATCAACGGTGGGTTGCTGCAGGCAGTGTTAGAACAGGACAAGACAGAGAGGATTTGTATCCTTACGTCCGGTATCTGTCTGTCCTTTTGTCTTGTCTTACTTGGGGGCTTTTTTTTATTATTGGCATCATAGATACTTACTGTAGGTACTTGTGTAAATAGTACCTGAGGGATGAATAATACTATATTCTGTCTACGTTATCATCGACTCCATATATTTGTAGTCTTATATATCCAGAGCCCATTACAAAGTGATCAATCAATTCAAGACAACCCGTAATACAATTGTATAACCCAAACCTTAACATCAACGTTGATCATCCCCAATTCCTCCGACACACCCACACATACGCACACACGGAGCGATGGAAGAGTGTCTGTTGGTCCACGGATCCAGAATTTCCCTACCATTGGGTGTCCCCGGGTAGGCTAGACACTAGATAGATACTTACCTTAGATAGTGGTAAAAAGGTGAAAGTAGAATGATCGTGATCACCAAGATTGACTGTGACACAGGGTATTCCCCTTGCCATGGTGAAATCGATCGATGAGATACTACTCAGTCCCGGGCGGAGAAAAAAGAAAAAGAGGGAAAAGGTCCAAGTCATGATACACGGTGACGCAAGGCGGGTTTATCACTTGTCTCAGGATTTCGGGGTCTTACTTGATTCGTTTCACTTGTGTATGTCTGTCTGTTCTGTTTATCAGACTTAACTGGTTAGTTCAGTTTGGGGTCTGTGTTGGGTGGCTGTTGTCTGTTTGTCAGGTTGGGTAGGTTGGCACATGACTAGTTACTTACTTGCTACTATCTATCGCTATATCTATTTTCATCCCTACTGTATACGTATATCTGTCTTAGTTTTTTCGTATATGCTATAGCTGGGTAGAATAGGTAGTAGAATTCCATCCGTCTCCATAGCACCTATCAAGGTATAAGGTATCCCAGCCGGACCTGACTGGAATGGTATGGATAGACAGACAGACAAGGACGACGCCAGTGGCAAATGGGGAGGGAGCCAGCCAGCCAGCCAGCCAGCCAACCGGGCCACACCCCCCCTCTCTCCCTCGATTCCCAGGCATCCATCTACTTACTATCTTCTTCCTGCCCTCCCGAGTTCCCCGGGGGAGGGAAAAAAAGTGATGATGTACCTTACCTGGTGGAACAATACCCTTTCAAAATAGCCATAACCAATGATGATGAGTGGATGGGTATGGCGCGCTGGCTGGTACCTACAGGTGTCGAGCTGTGGATGACAAACAGCTTGCTTTCCTGGAGCTTCCGAGCTGGTGTGTGTGTGTGTGTGTCCGACACAAACCGGGGATACATGATTGATTGATGAAGTGCAGATGCAGATGCAGATGCAGCGGCAGTTGCATTGATGTGTGTAATTGTGTAGCTACGTAAGTTATCTCCTTGGGAGGCTATTATTGAGCCTGAGGCATGAGAAGTGTGTATCTAAATACAGTAAGACGAATACAGTGTGATGACAACACACACACGTGATCTACAAGACGGGACCGGGATTTCTCGCTTGCAGACCCGAAACGGGCAAGCCGGGTGGAGCCGTGCAGGGACGACTAGGATGAACGCAATCGAGGTTGAGGGAGTGGAATATCCCCCCCTCCCCCCCTCCCTCATCCCTCCCTTTCTCCATCTGCTAGTAGGGGCTGTGTTTGGAAGAATTAGAGAGGTAATTAAAGGAATGGATAACTTTATATATCATTTTCATAAAGTATCTGATTGACTCGAGGTGAAAGAGAGAGAGAGAGTTTCTGGTGCCAGAATTGAGTTTACTTTTTTCCCCATGGTGATGACGAGAAATGGACGACAGGTCCAGTAGTAAAATAGTCAAGAGAGTTTCCGAGTGGAATTCCAAGGCCAGTCAGTCAGGTCACCTCAGATACTCTAGACTAGTGCCACCAAAAGTATGTTGGCGGGTGTGGATGATGAAAGGAGTCATTCTTTTCTGGAAATGTTGATTGGAGGGGGGGAGGAGGGACGGACCCTAAGGAGGTCGAGATTCAGGCGATAAACCCGACCTACTAAGTAACTAACCTAACTACTTTGTGGTTAACTAACTAAATCGCGTAAGCTGGGAAAATCATAAGAATAGTTAGTTAGCAAGTGATCAGAGCGAGGGGAGAGGGAGAGAGTTGTGGCACTGGCAGCAGCAGCAGGAATGGCCACACCAGGTTTCGAATCGTACTTTGGCCCAGACGATGCAAACATTGGGCCTAGACACTGGGCTGAGTACCCGCCCTTCCCGCCTGAGGATTCGAAGGGAAGTGATGACCATCATCATCATGGGAATTGAACGATGAGAAGAAGATGAGAAGAATTATGAGAGGAATAGATAGATATTTGATGTCTATAGTATTTATTGAAACAGTGCTCAACTGGATCTAAATAGGTAAAGAATATGAACAGAATTCATGTGTAACTTGATTTCCCCCCTAACGGTATGTCAGTATAAGCTGGTAACTTAACTTTGTAGTAGCTCCTCGAGGTCGAGTCCCTTTTGAAATCGGAGCCTGGGGAAAAAAAGAGAGAGAAAGAAAAGAAGGTGTGAAGAAAAGGGAAATTCCCACTTTCTGACTCTTGACTCTTGACTGACTGACTTGTTGCTCAGCTCTTTGGCTGCTCTTCTGCTGCTCTTCTCTCCGCCCCTCCAAAAGTCAGTCATCCATCCACACCAAAGCAGCTGAAAAGAGGCGCTGACTGGCTCTGTTGCTTGCCTGAATTCGGCCAGAGGAATTCCATCCATTCCCTTTCCATCATCTCTTTCTTGCTCTTCCCTTCCTTTTCCCTCTCTTCCTTCTCTTCTCCTCCTCCTCCCCTCCCCCAAATCCAGTCTAAAGCTTTTTGCTGCTGGTGCTGCCAACAGACCCAACGCCGTTTTGTTGATCCATCATCCCATTCTCGTTTTCCCCTTCCACTTCCTCTTCCTCTTCCCTTTTTTTTGCCTTGGATTTATTTCCTTCTTCCCTTATTTTTTTTTTTTTTTTTTTTTTTTTTTTCTTTTTCCCTTTTTCCTTCCTTAGTCCTGCCTTTTTTTCCTTTCCCACTTCCGCGCCCTCCCCCCTCCCTCTTCATTTCCTTCCAATCTGCTTTCTTTCTTTCTTTCTTTCTTTCTTCTTCATCTGTGCACCTCCCCCTCCCTTCTTGCTTGATACCCGTTTTGGTTTTTAGAACCTGAATTGTGATTCATCCTTTTCCCTCCCATTCCGATTCCACCCCCGTCGGTGGCCAGTCACCCTCCACCAACGGCCACTTTCTCCTCTCTCCATCTGCGTGCCCACTTCCTGTCGGGAACGGCGACTGCAGCCCTCGACTGTCACCTTTTGTCTCTCCAATCCCGTCCGTCTACTCTCATCCTCCGCTTCTTCCTCCCCCTCCTCGCCCACCCGTTCGCCATTCCCTCCTCTCCGGTCTTCCACACCCTTCTCTCCCCTCGACTTGTTCAAGGGGCTAGAGACTCGACCTCCCCTTGTCATGCACAAGATCTCCAATTTCACGGGCCAAGCCCGTCATGGCTGGGAGCGTATGACGCCCACTTTTGGCATGTCTCGACCGCATACCGACATGACTTCTCACTCCGTCCGTCGACCGCATGGCGCGCCGCCCATGACTCCTCCGACTGGAATCGACCCGACCGTCAATCTCTCGTTTAACGTGCCCTTCTCCTCGACTCTTGCCGGCCCCGACGTCGACGATGTCCTGCATGCGAGCCCTGGCGCCCTTCAACGCTGGACCTTCCCCGAGGGCACTCCCGAAGGCACCCCCGTCCACCAGCTTCCCGTTCACGCGAGCAATGTCGACGCCCTGCGGAGATTGTGTCGACAAATCACCGAAAGCAGTAACGGGAGGGTCGAGGCGGCTGTGACCTCGTCGGAGCCCAAGACTGTCCCCTCGCTACAACGGCGCCCTCAGGGTTTGGCGACCAACGTCTGCATCACGGGTGACGGAGAGACGGTACGGAAGATGCGAGCTAGGGTGTTGAACGAGACCCCCATTTTGTTGGTATGTTGATATCTCGACTTTTCATACTCTGGTGCCTGGGATCCGTTTCATACGCTAACGGGTTATGTTATAGCGATGTGCGACCGTGGACGTGGACATGCACCTGATCCTGGATGGAACCACCAAGAATATCCGAGCGAGCGTCTTGGAGCATTTGGATACGCTGGCGGCCTATACGGGCACGGACATCTTCCTCCTGAGCCCCAAAATCCGCGACACGGATAGTGCGGTGGTTTCTTCTTATGGATACGCCTCGGACAATGGGCTGGATCAACGCTTCCGGGTGTCCATCTACGGCGATATGGAGAGCGCTGAGCATGCCAAGACCAGGGTCTTGATTATGATCGATCAGATTGTGGGTTCTTTCTTCCGACCGATCAACGTCCGGCAAACTAACTGGTACTAGCTCAAACGTCACGTGGACGCTGTGAAGCTGGAGCTGACCATGCACACCTTGGTCTGCGGCCGTACTCGCAAGAACATCAAGCTGATCGAGGCTGCCACTGGCACGGCCATTTACTTCCCGCCGCCGTTCCCTCGCATTTTCGGCTACACGCCGCCGGGTGCTCATCGTCGCAGCGAGAACGAGGTCTACATCACCGGTGATACGCAGGAGCAGATTGCACGTGCGAAGCAAAAGCTTCAGGAACTTGTGATGGGCGTGAAGATCTACGTCAAGGATGTCATTGTCAACTCGAACAAGATCGACAACATCCTGCTCGACCGTTTGGACAAGGTCCGCAAGGTGATGGAGATGAACGGCTCCTACGTCCTCTTTCCTCAGCTCGGTACCCAGCGGGGTCTGGTTCGTATTCAGGGCACCGAAGTGTTGCACGTCGAGCGCACCGTGCGGGAGATCATGGCTTTGGTATGTTACACTGTACTTCATTCCAAACGGCTTCGTGTCTGACTAACATTTGCAGGCTGGTCAATTCTACAGCGCGTCGTGGTGGATCATCATGCCGGACCCGTCGCAAGGGGGTTTCCGGGCGCCGTCTCCCGCAGACGTCCGCACCATGCTCTCTGACATCTGCAGCAACTCGGGCGCTGAAGTTAGCTTTGACAACCTGACGTTCACCATCAATGGCTCGGATGACGCGGTCAAGGCAGCGATGATGGTGATCAACCAGATCCCGTTTGTGCAGCGCAGCCAGTACCAGATGCGCGTGAAGATTGAACTCGCCAACGAGCACAAGGAATTCGTCAGCGGCAAGAAGAACGGAAAGATCAACAAGATCATGGGCCAGAGTGAGTTAGCCGTATTCGCCACATGGGCCACGTACTAACGTATACAGGCAACGTGCAAATCATCTTCGATGGTTTCAACGAGTACAACTTCTACATTGACGTGTGTGGAAACCAGTACGAGTCTACCAAGAATGGCTTGGACCTTGTTGAACAGGAAATGCCGGCGTCGATTTCGTTCCACGTGCCAGACCAGTACCACAAGCGTATCATCGGCATTGGCGGTCAGCACATTCAGCGCATCATGAAGAAATACTCGGTGTTTGTCAAGTTCTCCAACGCCATGGACCGTGGCGGCATGGGCAAAGAGGAGGACGACATCAAGGTTGACAATGTCATTTG